ATCTGTGTCCCCTTGCTATTACTTTCTTACTTTTCACATAATTAAGACAGTATACTATTTATTGTCTGATATTCGTATAAGATAGTGATGATGGCTTAAATGGGAGCTCACTGCAAGCAGCCTTCAAAACCTTCACAGCAACTGCATCTTGTGAAAAAACTGCACATATTCAAAAACTTTCTGCACCAAAATAAGCTTATTAGTTAGTTCCATTTCCCACCAACTTTTTGAAGTGCCATCATATGTGTTAGTTACTGTGCTAAGCAATTTACAGAGAAGCCAGGCTGTGTGATCACAAAGCACATGTTTCAGTCACTAGGCTGCACTGCCTTCCCAGCTCTCCATCAGACTCTGCTCAGGAAAGGGAAAGACCATGATGTATTCACTTTATCTGCACAACAACCAACAGGGCTTGCAATTAAAGAAATTCTTGCAAAATAAATGAAAAAATAGTATGGTACTGAAAGTCTTAAGATTTCTGTCTCCTGGTTTCTCCAGTCACATACGAACCTACATACTGCTGTAAAGAGATTGTACAGGTGTCATTAAAGTCCCAAGTTACTTTAAGACACAGACATTACAACTGGGCCTGGACCACTCAAGCGAACCCTTTAAAAGCAGAGAGTTATCTCTGGGTAGTGGAAATCCCAGAGATTCTAATAGAGGGATCTGGCACACATCACAGACTCGGAGATAGAGAGGGTCAGGCAGGGAGGAATGCAGGCAGTCTCCAGAGGCTGACAGCAGTCCTGGCTGAGACTCAGCAAGAAAATAGTGACCCTGGTCCTAATAACCACCAAGAAATGAGTCTGCAAACAACCAGAAAGAAAAGCTCCAGCCCCACACAGCAGCCACACCCTGGCCAACACCTTGGTTCCAGCCTCACTGAGAGCCTAAGCAGAGACTCCACCCACCCCAATCCAGCATTCTGGCCTAGAGAACTATGAGGTAATATATACGTGTTGTTAGGAGCTGCTCAGTTTGTGGCCATTTGTTACACAGCAATAGGAAACAGGTACAAGCACGTTTCCAATTCTGTGGAGGTGTGGGTGGTCAGACTGCTGACCAGTGTTCCACGGAGCTTTAAAGAAGTCAGCATTGGCTGAGGCTACACCATGGAAGAGTCATGGGTTGGGGAAGTCCGGACCCATTGCATCACCCAGACTCAGGAATAGAATGTGGTGAGGGTGGTGGTGTTCCCCAGTGGCTAGAGTGCTGAATAAGAAATATGAAATTCTGGTTTCTACTCCTATTGCTTCCCTGTGTGACTGTGAGCAAGTCATTCAAGTCTCAGAGCCTCAGTTCTTTTATCTGTAAGATGGAGAGATTCATGCACCTCCCATCCATTTCATGAGACTGTACATGAGGTTAAAATAATGAGTCCAATGGGCCATGAAGTTATGGTCAATTCTGGAGAAACATGGGTAGTCCAGGGGGCTTTAGGAAAAGCAAAAGTAATAAAACCCAGGTGACAAGGCAGATCTCCAAGGCCCTTGGGTCACTGCTGTTCTTTTATTAACTAAGAAAAAGGGTGCTTTTCCCAATGGCTCCCTGGAAGAATCATTATCATCATAAAAATAATGCCTTGGGTTTCAATAGCACTTTTCAAAGTGCTTTCCCCTGTACCACTTTAAGTCTAGCTGCCTGAATCAGTTAAAGGGAAAAAAAAAAGACTAGAAGTCTTTCTTGCACTGAAAGTTTTGCTTTCTCATCATGAAGCAGGGGAAGTCTCACCCATCATAACAAAAGAGGAAGATGGGGATCCAACTGGGCAGGTGAGTTGGCAAGGTTATGAGACTGGTCAGTCAAAGGACCAAGTGGCTCTTGTTCCTAGGCCTGGCCTCTAACGACTCCAGAAAGCATAGTACCCTTGGGTAAAGCCAGGTCCCCTGTACCATGACTGAACTAAAGGTGGGGAGTGTAGGCTCACACTCAAGTTTCTGTCTTATGGACCAGAGCAAATTAAGCATCTGAATTGTGTCACATTTTTCAATAATCTCTTCCTCCAACTCTCTAGTTACTCCACGATGACACTTATGGGCTGTTAAGCAGCTAGACTGCTTCTCCAGTACCTTCATTAAGTAGGTGGGGATGTGGTCAGTAATGTGCAGGGTAAGCTACTTGCAATACCCAGCAGATAAATATTAATTAAGAGAGAACAGCAAGAAGGAACCTGAGGCCTGGAACCTTCTTGGGAAGCCTTTGAGCTGAATCTGTCAATTCACTAATGTAGGACAAAGAGGCAGCCTCCCTGAACACTTGGTTTGATGCCACGATTCCAGACACCCCAGATCATAAGCAGCATGGATTCTCCTGGTCCTGACAAGTCGTTCCAGTCTCTAGAAGCTGAACAAATGGAGCCACCAAGTTAGAGGACAAGCAATATTCTTTATTGAGGGCCTACTCAGTGCCAGGGGCCAGAGATACAACACTGCATAAAAGAGGTAAAAGGTTCCTTTACTCTCATAGAACCGAGGGTCTAAGGGAACACAGACAGTCAAACAATCAAACAGATATCAGGTTTCAACTGCCCAGAGAGCTATATGGTGCCCTATTCTTACATTTGAATGTTGAAAGTGCAGTGATTAGGATGGGGTCTGCAGGATGAGCAGGCATTGATGCATCAGTGGAAAGAGCAGCCTGTGATAAGGGTAGGAGTCTTTTGAACATGAGGGATCAAAAACCAGCATGACCAGAGGATGGAGAGTGTGTGATTGGATGGCATTGCAAGAGTGAGTCAGGGGCCAGATCACATAGGGCCTCAAGGGTCACCAAAGAGTTTGAATTTTGTTCCAAGAGTTAAGAAGAATGCTTTGATGGGTTTTAAGCAGGAAAGCAACATGATACAATTAATGATTTTCAAAAGATCACTCAGGGTACCTTGTGGGGAAGCTATTAAGCCAGGGAGCGAGGGAACAGGGGGCCGAACAGTGGCAAGAAGTCCAGTTCAGATACTACTGTGGTCATCCAAACTTGGGAAAGGAGTTGCAGCATCAAACGACCTTGACACTTGTGTCTGCCACCTCCTAAAGTTATCTGAAAACTAGGAGATGTTCATTCTAACTGTGTGTTCACCTCGAGCTGTTGGGGGAATGATTTAGCCTCTACATATCTATTTTTCTCAAATTCTTAATGGAAGCTATGTATCCTGGTCTACCTATTTATGATTTCAAATCATAGAATCTCAGAGATTGGAAGAGTATGAGAGGCCATAGCTATGCCCTGGCACCACATGATGCTTAATGCCTCCTCTTGTGCCTTAGAGTTTTATCTCTAGCACTAGGCACCCTGAGAGGAGAAGACTAGATACCAAGTACAATGTCTCTCTACATGGATCACCACTTGAATTTTCAGAAATAGGAAATTCCTCTCACTTCCAGGATAGCCACCTCAATGCTGCACCACCTACCCACCAAAAATATCTTCCTCATGTTTAGTTAGTGTTTGTTTTCCTAGAACTTTGGCCATTTGCTCCTAATTCAGGTCACATGGTATGAGTCTCATGCCAACACTCTAGTGAATCTGTCTCTGCAAGCCTTCTCTTGTTAAATGTTCTTTCTTCCTATAGCTGTTCATAGCCATGCTCCATTCTCCTGGTCTCAACACCTTGAACAATTTCCCCTCTCTTATTTTTTCTGTTAATATGAAGCATCTGGGAGCATTTTTTTCCACATAACAAGCAATAACAAATATCTGTTGGATTTCCTGGAGTGAGCATTGTTTGCCAACAATGAAAAGTAATCTCCAAGAAACTGAGACAAAGGGAAGTGCAAATGATGGTAGGAATAACCCAGAAAGGGTCAAAAGGGTTTTTAAAGCAGTATAAAACAATAGAGTGACCAGCAGGCCTGGCTACTCCAGCAGATTCACAGTGTGGTTTGAGACTCATGAGTTCCTTTACTTGTAAAACTCATGGATTGGATTGGTGCTCTCTCCAGTTGCTAAATCTTAGACCTCAGCTAAGCACTGTCACTTTTTGAAGGCTCTGAGCTTGAAGCTGTCAGAGCACGTATTAGAAAAGGCTTAAAGAGACAGTAGCTCCAGGATGACACTTTCTTAGTAAATTGAGTGGGCTGGAAAGAGAAATGGAATGCAAATAACTTTATCACTGTACGATTCTGTATGGTTTGATGCCATATCTGTCTACCACATAAAATCACCCCACATAACATCCAAATCACCTGTAGTATCTTTGGGACGCCTGTGACTTGGAAAACTCCAGCCAAATCAGAGAGCTCACAATGGGATCCTCAGCTGGCCGTTATTTTCTTCATTGTTTTGGGCATAAGAGTAGAGATATAGGACAATAAGAAGTTCAAGGCTAAGTTTCTCACCTCATGTATGATTATTATCCTTGTCATTTTTATATATTTATTTCAGTCCAATTCTCTTTCTCTGTGATGGGGGAAGTTGGGTGGAGTAGAACTCTACCTTTGCCCAACGGGGACATTACCCATAGTGGATAGAGTATGGTTGTTTTCATTCTATTTTCAATTATCTCTTTGTTTTAGTCCATCATTATTGCCAAGAGGGCAATAATCAAACAGTGGTCTGAGCAATATTTCTGAGCCAATTATATGTATCATGTGTGTAAATGCAATTGTGTTCATCTATGTATGCGCAAACATTTGGTGTACATGAAACTGCATAAACAAGGATTTTTTTAACTGTTTGTGATTTCCATGGCTAAATGCTGACATATCTGTGTCTTTGTTGGCATGTGCCTCGATGTATATGCACATGTAAAATGAGTGTCAATACATGCCTGTGGGCTTTATCACTGCTGAGGGGCAGCAACCCCAGATCCTTCTCTGTGATAGGAATGTAATGTGGAAATGTGGAATCTCTCTGACATTTGAATTCTCACATCTTGCAGAAAGAAGAGAAGGGTGCAATAGGGTTTGACAGCCTCGCTAAAGGGCTCAGGCTGGCTCGCAGGCCCTCCCCGTAGCTATCCGCAATCACTGTCGGCTCCTGATGCCTCCTCTCTTTGCCTACAGGTCTCTGTCTGGCCGCATCGTCGGTGGCGTCTGGTGGTTCTTCACCTTGATCATCATCTCCTCCTACACAGCCAACCTGGCTGCCTTCCTCACCGTGGAGAGAATGGTATCTCCCATTGAGAGTGCAGAGGACTTAGCCAAGCAGACAGAAATTGCTTATGGGACGCTGGAAGCAGGATCTACTAAGGAGTTCTTCAGGGTACGGACATCCCTTGTCCCAAGGCACTTTCACAAAAAGGAACCACTACTGTCATTAAAATGCCATTCTCATTAAAAATCATGGTATCAGAGGGAGCCAAGGCAGCTGCTTAACCGAGGGCAAATCAGAGAGACTCAGATCATTCCTCAGCTTTCTATAGGCCCCTAAGAAATCTTCATGTCCATATTTTTGAAAGCTTGAAACTTAAACCTGCATTGATTTAGACCCCTTGCCTATACCATTCTATACTAACTCTCTGGGGGCTACAAAGAACAACCAATAAAATTCTTCCCCTGCCCCACAAAAACTTTGCCGTCTACTCAGCACCCATTAGAATCAGCTTAGAAACAAGACTTAAATTTTATATTCCTGGTTCACCTTCCTATCTCAGAGTAGGAGTTCAGTGGATGTTTCTAGACTTGATGAATAAGAAGACAGTATACGGGGAAAAAGAAACTGGGATAGGTAATTTATTAAATAGTGTCAGGAGGAAGAGAAAATGTGGGCTGCAAGTAGAGAGGTATCTTCTGGATTAGAGGCAGAGAGCAAAGAATTCAGGAACATAGGCCTCAAGGTCAGCTAGACAAAGGACCAGAAGTTGATGCCATCCTTCACTTGTCTTTGCACTTAGCCTTTCTGACATCATTTTCATTCATCTATAAAATGAGGAGAATGATGTCCACCTCAAAGAGTCTTCAGGAGATTAAAAGCGATAAGGTATCTAAAACATGCATACAGGAGGAAACAGGGAACAGAAGCTCCACTTCCCATAAAGCCATTAAGTCTTGGAGGATGTGCAGGCATTTGCAAGCCATGGTGAAGACAGGGTATGGACTGAAGCCACACAAGGTGGACCTGAATACATTACTAGATATCACAAAACCAGCTCAGACCTGGCCATACCCCAGGATAAAGGATGGAAGCCCAGAAGCAGTAAAACCAGACTTTGTTCATCCTGGGAGTTGAACAAACATCCTGAGAGTGGAATTATCATATACTGATAAAAATAATAAATAATCATGGACACTCACTGTGTTTATTCACCTTATATGAATATAAATATGAACGAGGGGCTGTACTAAGTATATCCCACATGATATCAGTTCGTCCTACATGCTATCTCTGCTAATTCTCTCATTTAGAGATGACATAGAAATTGTCCAATCTGTAGATGAAGCCCAGATAAATGAAAGTCGTCACCTAAAGTGTCATAGCTAATAAGTAGCAGAAGCAGCACAGAGAGCAATACTGCCTCAGTGAGGAGAGTGGGGATCCCACACAGACCCATCCAGGTAATCACTGCAGCTGGATGGAGCAAGCCCCAGGCTCTGATATAACGTGAACAAACACAGGTCTTAAGATTAAGAACAGGCCGGCACCATGGCTCACTAGGCTAATCCTCCACCTGAGGCACCGGCACTCTGGGTTCTAGTCCCAGTTGGGGTGCTGGATTCTGTCCCAGTTGCTCCTCTTCCAGTCCAGCTCTCTGCTATGGCCCAGGAGTGCAGTGGAGGATGGCCCAAGTGCTTGGGCCCTGTACCCGCATGGGAGACCAGGAGGAAGCACCTGGCTCCTGGCTTCGGATCGGTGCAGCGCACCGGCCGTGGCAACCATTTGGGGGGTGAACCAATGGAAGAAGACCTTTCTTTCTGTCACTCTCTCTCATTGTCTATCTCTGCCTGTCAAAAAAAATAAGATTAAGAACAAAATTTTAATCCACCTCCAAGGCCCACATTATCAACTTGCAACATATCAGACAGAGAAGGTCACTTGGTCAGAGCCTATCATTTTGAAGAGAGGCATGACTTGGGTAAGCTCACCCAGTCCATTAGTAAAAAACCCACTTGTAATCTCATTATGATGGTCTGATGCCTTTATCCTGAAACCAAAGTGTGACAGCGGTGCCTGATGCTTGTCCAAGACCCAATCTATTTCCCAACCCCTGCTGGTGCAGTTAAGGAACTACTCAGTTTGCATCACAAGGCTCTCCAGACACAGTCTACACAGCATGTCCTAGGCCCCAAAGTATTTTCATACCCGTGGTCCTCTTTCTGTTTCACCTGTGACCTAAGGCACAAAAGAGATTGTGGTGTTCACTTTGTATATAAGAAATTGAGATTCAGAGAGTTCATAATGCAAGTGTCAGCCATGGGAACCAAATCCAAGTCTCCTTGTTCCAACTCAGGTATTCTTTTTTTTTTTTTAACTTTTATTTAATGAATATAGATTTCCAAAGTACAGCTTATGGATTACATTGGCTCCCCCCCCAACCCATGACTTCCCTCCCACCCGCAACCCTCCCCTTTCCCGCTCTCTCTCCCCTTCCATTCATATCAAGATTCATTTTCAATTTTCTATATATACAGAAGATCAGTTTAGTATACATTAAGTAAAGATTTCAACAGTTTGCACCCCCATAGAAACACAAAGTGAAAAATACTGTTTGAGTACTCGTTATAGCATTAAATCTCAATGTACAGCACATTAAGGACAGAGATCCTACATGAGGAGTAAGTGCACAGTGACTCCTGTTGTTGACTTTACAAATTGACACTCCTGTTTATGGCATCAGTAATCTCCCTATGCTCCAGTCATGAGTTTCCAAGGCTATGGAAGCCTTTTGCCAATTCAGGCATTATTGCCACTGAACTACACTGTCTCATGTGATGGTATCATTAGTAAATGTGTTTTTAAAAGATCAGTAAGTTTGACATATGGGTCTGGGTACAAATCTAGTCTAACCCTACCATTTTATAGTTGGGAAAGCTTAGGCTTGGAGAAGCAAATGTTCCTGCCCTAGCCAATAAGAGGCATGATGGGCCTTAAGACTTCAAAGTTGCTTTTTAACAGCTGTGTCAATTGACTTATTGGTGCCTCTTGTCCACATAAGCACAAAGTTAGAAAGCTGGAAACAAAGTAGTATGCTTTCTTCTGCACCCTAAGCAGGGATCCCTTAGTGGCAGCAAATGGGCTGTGGTCCATGTGCTAATTTTGATTAATTCTTTAGTCACTGCCTAAAGCTCTGCATTGAGAAAGATTGTGAGGTCACATTAAGCCCTGTGTGAAATAAGTCCTTGAATGATAGCCATGTCTCCTGCATACATAAAGAAGGGCAACCAGTCCCAAGGAAGACATTCATTGGACAGCCCTACCATCAAATAAAACCTGAAAAAGGGGGACACTTTTAGAATGCCTTCCTCCTGTAAAATTCTTCCTTGCACAAGGCTATACATTTTATCTATGTTCTCATGTAATCTCCATGACAACACTGTGCAGTGGGCACTGCTATCACCATTGGCAGAAGAGGAACCCTGATGCTCAGGAAGGTTAGGTTACTCGCCCAAAGCCCTCCAGCTAGGAATTCAGGGGTACAGAGCACACAACAAGCGAAGCAGCTGGTGGTGCTGGAAAGGTACAGGGTGCTATAAGAAGCCGAGGGTTTCCCTCCTGCCTCTGCCACTTACAAGCTGCATGACACTAGACAGTCCACTACCACACTGTGGGCTTTGTTTTCTTTCCCTGTAAGAGGAGAATGCTGCTAAAATGTGTCTCAATGTGTCTCACGAGTCCTTCTGCCTCTGTGACTCTGGACTCGAGAATGAGTGCACTGGGACTGGGTGGAAGGCAGCCCCACCCTCACAAGGCAGAAGGAAGGACTAATGAGACAAGAGTTCTGCTGTCCCAGTCTGAAAATCTGGCTTCGGTCCCTATGGCAGCCCAGAGCTTCTTGGCAGCCCCATTCTAGAGTCATTTAATCCTCCATCGACATTTTAATTAAGATGTGTGAAGGACCGTGGGAGCTGCAGATGATAGGACAGATCCAAGAACAAATACCCAGAGTATGCTTCCAATCTCCCTGCCACTCACACTACCTTCGCATTCCTGGAGATTACATGTTCCTGAGAGTCCTCTCCGAGTGTCTGTGAACACAGTCTTTGCACTGGGGACACTGGGCGAGGCCGTGAGGATGTATTAATTTTCTGCATACTGTTGCCCAGAGGGTTCTTCAGCTCTGCCTGTCAGCAGCCGCATTCCTTGCTGTGTCCACCCTGCCAGGTCAAATTGCATCTTGCAATTGCCTGCTGTGTGTTTTGTTAATTTTGTGCCTGGAAGATCATCTGCAAATGCGGTCACAGCTGAATTTATACATCTCCCTGTTTCCTGCGAGAGAATATCCAATACATTGGAGATGCAATAATTGCTTCTCAGTATTTCCTCCCCCAGGCTTGGAATCCACACTCCCTTTTGCTCCCTTCTTTCTCACACTGTCATTGAATGATGTCTCTTTGTTTAAAGAATCAGGTATTTCAAGCTCACAGGGGACTTAAATATTATGTCCAAGCTCCTTATAAATAGGTAAGGAAACTAAAGCTCAAATGGAAGGGATTTTCCCAAAGAGGAAACCGTGAGCTGGAAGCAGAAATAAGAAGAGTGACACTGAGGCTCTGATGCCAGGTCAAAGGTCCTTTCCAAATTCTAAGCCACACTGTGAAACACATGATCCAGTTTATCTAATTTTGGACAGCTGGACAACCCAAACTTAAAACTCACTCTACCAAATGCCTCCCTGCAATTCTCATTAACTATTTCCATTTATTACCCCTTGAGGCTTAATTATCATGAGCCTCAAATACCTTTATAGATCAGTTGTCTTAAATGGCGACTGCCCTCCAATATTTTGCCAACAATTGATGACAACAGGTATCCAGAAAATGAACTTCATGCTTGTGCACAGAGAAAACTTGTACGTTGCATACACAATAATTTTATATTATGCAAATCTGTAATTTACATATTAACCACCAGATTATACTCTTTTAGGTTATATGATTGTAGTAGTAATTGTCTCAGATAAAATGGCCCCTTTATCATGTTCTAACTTGTCTATTTGTAAGACATTTTCAATAGTCAGACTCTAGTATCCCTAAAACATGTCTACCTCTTGGAAAAAGGACACGAAGAGCATTTCAAGGAGAGGAATGACGTATAGTCCAGACAGTGGATCCTGACTGGGGGCCTTCTCCGTGCAGGGTGCTCAGTTAGACTCTGTAAAGGATCAAAAAAAAAAAAAAAAAAAAAAAACAGAAGACATTCCCTGCCCTCAGGTGGCTTCCACCTGCTTGAAACCTACTCAGATAACAGATGATTGCAATCCTAGCAGTCTAGCCTAGATGCTATGAGTGACCCAGACAATGTGTCCTACAGGAATTTCCACCCTCAAAGTACTGTTTCTAGAAGTGAGGGCAACATAGGACAGACAGAGCAGAATCACCTGGTTGGGGAGGGGGGGGTTGAGGGAAACTCAGAAAATGTATTCCAAGTCCTACCCCAGACCTGCTCATTAGAATTTCTAGATGAAGCAGAGGGAAGCTGACACTATTTAAAAAGATGTATGTTATTTATTTGAAAGGCAGAGTGATACATACACACTGAGAGAGAGAGAGAGAGAGAGAGGACTACCATCTGCTGGTCCACTCCCCAAATGGCTGCAACCACTGGGGGCTAATTCAGGCTGAAGCCAGGATGCTAATAGGTTCTAGCATCATGAACAGTGATTATAAACAGGCAAATTCCTTGGGCCAGCACTGTGGCACACCGGGGTAAACCATTGCCTGGGACGCCTACCTGAGTAGGCAGCAGCGAAGGCTCAAGTTCTTGAGTCCCTGCCACCCACGTGGAAGACATGGACTGAGTTCCCAGCTCCTGACTTTGACCTGGTCCAGTCCTGCTCTCGTGTGCATATGGGAAGTGAACCAGCAAATCGAAGTGCTCTCTCACAAATAAATACAATTTAAAAAAAAATTAATGGAAAGAACTGTTGCTCTTGGAGCAAAGGCAGGCTCCAGATACACAGGATTTGCTCTGCTCTGTGAATGAGAAGACTGTGACTGGAGAGAACGAGTATGATAAGCAGTCCAGGCAATGGCCCAAGGGAAAGAAGCTCCAAGGTGAGTTTAGGAGGGAGTACAGAGAGCAGTTTCATTAGATTTGGAGGCTTTAGAAAAGTAAACAGGCAACCAAGTCATCAGCTTTATCAAACAAAATGTACCTTCTGAAGGCAAGGCTTACAGTAGAAGGTGACTGGAACTCAGTAATCCATGATCCGCAAAGCCTTCAGTGTTGCTTTCCAATAATGAAATCAGATTCCACTGATATTTGGCCCTCGACTTCTCCTGGGCAGTATAAATATGGCCTCTCTGAACAGCAGAGAGGCCCTTTAATGTCTTTAAAAGCCAGACAGGGTTCCAGTTTCCTAACACTTCCCACATTTAAGAGCAATATAATTACTCAGAAGTAATTAAAAGATTCTGAACTACTCTGTTCATTCTGTATTTGCAAGATATTTGTACTTTGGAACCTACTGGTACTAATTAGAGTCTCTTATTTTGCAATCACTCATAATTTGTTTCTTCCTGAGCTAATCGGGCTCATGAATGTGTTATCAGGCTACAGTCAGCTCTTCATTAATACGTGTGCCGACCCCAATTCAAACACAACCAGCACTTAATTCTGGCTTTCTTCATGTCCCCTGCCAGAGGTCAAAAATTGCTGTGTTTGAGAAGATGTGGACATACATGAAGTCAGCGGAACCATCCGTTTTTGTACGGACCACAGAGGAGGGGATGATACGAGTGAGGAAATCCAAAGGCAAATACGCCTATCTCCTCGAGTCCACCATGAATGAGTACATTGAGCAGAGGAAACCCTGTGACACTATGAAGGTGGGAGGTAACTTGGATTCCAAAGGCTATGGCATTGCAACACCCAAGGGGTCCGCCCTGAGGTAAGTAGCCAAGACTGGCTTCTTTCGTACTCCCTCTCCCCTCCCTATCTCAGGAATGAAGCTGCTGTGTCTGCTACATGGCCCCAGTGCCACCGCGAGCTGTCAGTTTGGCTCTTCTTCAACACCTGTGGGCCTGGAAGAATCTAACCACTCAAGATCTTCAGCCCTGAGGTTGGAAATTGACCTGGGGGCCTCAGCTTGCTGTGACTGTCACCGCCTGTGTGTTCTTCCTCACACCTCACCTTACCCCTTTAAGTGTGTTAAGCATCAATGAATCTTGTGTTTTTGTCATGTAATCTGTAACACCCCATCCTTTACCAGACACACCTGCATCCAACTAGGCCATGAACAAGGTTCTCCAGCAACCTGGATTCTTGGACAGATGATGGTTTGTAATGTTTGCCTCAGAAGAAACATAAACACCTTGTCCAAATGAAAAAATCAACTAATACAAGTCCTAAGACTCTGGCTGTGGAAATGCATATAGCACCTAATGGACAGAACCAAATTAAAGGCAGCACTCATTCTTAACTAGACACTGATTTTTTTTTTTTTTTTTTTGGCAAGATACAGCTAGGTCAGTAAAGTGACTTCACTTCTACATAAAGAAGTACTGAAATTTATTCTAAACCACTAAGAAACTAGCTATAGACTTGGAGAAAGGAGACCTAGGTCTAATTTTGCAATTACCATTTATTTTCTAGAAGGTAAGGTATATCACCACCCAATGTTTGGTTTCCTCATCTGCAAAGGGAGGATAATCATCCCAGCCCTTCTTAGAACCAAGGTGGATGTGAGCTCAAATAGGATAATCTATGTAGAAGGTAATTGATGACAATCATAACATCTTAAGTCACTGATCAGATATTATATCAACTACAGAAAGATTAAATCATTTTAAAGAAAGATTAGCACTGCAGGAAGGATAGGAATGATTAATAAAGCTTGAAAAAATATGGAGAGGGGTCTTCATGACATCCACAGCCACCTCTGCTTCTACTTTATTTATTCATTTCAATAACATTGAGCCCCAGTATTTCTCTAGGCACTAAGCTAGCAACTGAAGCTACCCTTTTGAAAAGATAGAGGTAGCCTCATATTGGTCAGCTTTTTGTTATTTTAACTAAAGTATCTGAGATACTTGAGAGAAGCTGCTCAGGAAGGAAATGCTTATTTTTTAATATTCATTTATTTATTTATATGAAGGGGAGAGTCAGAGAGAGAGAGACCTTCCATCTACTGATTTACTCCCCAAATGGCCACCATGGCCAGGGCTAGTTCAAGCCAAAGCCAGGAGCCCAGAGCTCCATCCAGGCCTCCTATGTGGGCTACAGGGACCCAAGTTCTTAGGCCACCCTCTGCTGCTTTCCCAGGTGCATCAGCAGGGAGCTGCGTCAGAAGCAAAGTACCTGGAACTCGAAATGCCATTTTGATATGAGATGTGGCGCTGCATGCAGCAGCTTAGCTCACTGTGCCCCAATGCCAGCCTCAAGAAAGATTTACTTTGACTTACAGCTTTGAAATCAAATGACATCATTAGTCTGGGTGTTGTAGAGGCTAGAATTGCTGGATCATGTGCAGAGGAACAATCACACAGTGATCCAGGAAGCAGAGACAAAAGGAATACCTCTTTCTCTATCCTCTATGAGGTATCAGCTTACAAGTCCATAATGATTCAATCATGGGCTCCATCCTAGCCACCTAATCCAATCCAATCACTTCCTAAGGGCCCCACCTTCAGATGCCATAATGGATCAAGTTCTCCACTCTACTCCATCAGTCAATGGCACTAATCCATCATCTGTTAACATAAGACTACATGGGTTTGAAAAGTCAAATCCTGTTCATAACATTTCCTGTCTCTATGGAAATACACTCTTGCAAGGAAAAATACATACCAGGACAGTCCATACAAGGGGATCTAGAGGGCATCTACTTTCAAGAAAGTTGTAAAACAAAATTCTCATGATAAAAACCCTGATATACTGTGTCAGATATAACAGGCAACCAGAAAAGCATAAGCTAATTATTCTGGGATTACCCTAAACAGAAGGAATTGATAAATTATGTGACAATCTACGTGAGCAGGAATAACCATATAATTAATGAAGTAAAAGTAATAAAAGTTTTTTAAAAATCAGACACTATGGCTGGCATTGTGGCATAGCAGATAAAGATACTGTCTACAATGCTGGCATCCATAAGGATGCTGGTTCATGTCCAGGCTTCTCCAGTTCTGATCCAGCTCCCTGCTAATGGCCTGGGGAAAAGGGCAGAAGATGGCCCAAGTTCTTGAGCCCCTGCTACATAGGTGGGAGACCTGCAAGAAGCTCCTGGCTTCTGCCTTCAGCCTGGCTCAGTCCCAGCCATTGCCACCATTTGGGAAGTGAAGCAGCAAGTGGAAGATTCTCTCTCTCTCTCTAACTGTGACCTTCAAATAAATAAATAAATCTTTTAAAATAAGATACTATATATATAATTAAAGAAATAAAAATAGTCTCTGACACATTCTCAATGGAGGGTTAAAGAGTAAATTACACAAAGTTGAAGAGAGAACTATTGCACAGTGAAAAACACCAGTAAAAATTCCCCTAGAATATTCTAAAAAGATATTAAGAAGATAGGAAATCTCACAAAGAAGTTAAGGGACATGAAATAGGGAAAAAATAATGCTATGAGTTCTTGTCAGATGGAAACATCTGGAATAGAGGCAATATTTCAAAGAAAACTTCTAGAATTTTTAAAAAACATAAATCCTCAGGTTTGAAAATTCAGTCCCAAGCAGGATAAATAGATGAAAATCAGCAGCTGATTCAAGAGAAACAACAAAACAGTAAAGACAAAGAAAAGATTTCAAATATACCCAGATACCAAAAGGTACAATCAGATCTGCAGAATAGGTGGAGTGTGGCTAGGATGAATTCTCCAAGGATGCTTTATTCAAGCTGAGGTCTGACTGATTACCATGAGTCAAGAAGGCAAAGTGAGGGGAGGGGGAAAAAGAGTAGTGCTGGCTGAGGGGACAGACTACCTGAAGACTTGAAGGCAAGAAAGTACGACACAGATGATGAACTAAAAGCAGTTAAGTGTTCCTAAAACACAGGTAGTGCAGAAGAGAAAAGGTTAAACTTCAGTTGAAGACTGAGGTTGGGAGAGATTTTTAAAGGATTCTATCCTTACTCAAAGAGCACTGGAAACTCATTAGTAAACTTTAAGTAAATGACAATTAGGAAAATAAAGAATCTGGAAGATGGTGGACATAACTGAAAGTGACCTAATAAAAGGACATCAGGTGGCCTGATATTTATCAACCATACAGATTTGCCTAGAAAACTTGAGACCATGTATCAGTTTGGGCAAAGTTCAAAGGGGATCCATATATTTCTTGTCAAGGAACACTTTTAGTCTCAGAAAATCATTACATCACCCGAGATACCCAAAGTATAGAATGTGTTCTTATAGGTCCAGGAACATCAATGATGCTGAAATATTACAACTTACTGAAAGTTTCATGGGTCAAGGACATTACTAATGTAAAATATTGGATATAAAGTTCAGAGTACAAAGCTCAGAGGGGTGATATTATTTGTCCAGTCACCAGAGTATCTATGTTACCCCATTCCACACACAAGTGTCTAAAACAAGGTGAACACTCAGAGCTGGATATTTGAGTGATATAAACCTAAAATGCAGTACATCTTCCATTCAACTGACTTTCTACTCATCGAGTCAGTGCCTGCATGCCACACACTGTGGTGTGTATATTGCCTCTTAGAATCTTTGCAGTATCCCTATGAGGTAATGTTATCCCCATTTTACAAATGAGGAAACAAACATTCAGGGTTCAGTTACCTGACCATGTTAACACAGCTAAGGTCAAACCAAGATTCTAACCCCAGGCAGCCTGACTTGACAGCTGTAACGTACTCTAAAGTGGTGCTGGACTTTTTGGCTGACAGTTCCATTAAAGGCAAGAAACTAGACTTAGGCCAAGTTCAATGTATACCTGCTCATATGAGCTAAATAGTTGCCGTCAACTGAAGAACAAAAAACAGTCCAGAGAAGCCACTCACCACACCAAAAACAAAAGATGATGATGGACTCGCACTTTAATGCACTATTCTTTTGAGTAGTAAAACTGATTTCATGAGTTTTACATGCCCAAAGATTCTTTCTGGGACAAATGCTAAAAATAATGCAACCATGTATTAAAAACAATCTAATTATTTTTTGCTTACATCAATATAAAGGACATAATTCACTTACTGCTTTTGATAAAGAGTGAAAAGGAACTTATTGCAAATACAGAACACTGGTGTCTGGTCTGCAAGTCAATAATACCCAACTGTAGGCTCCCAGCCCTCCGTCAGTGCTCCCTTCTCTCCAGTGGCAAACTTGCTGACAGCCACAGGGCAATCATGATTCCTGTCTTAAAAGCAGAAGAGAAACACCCACCCCCTCAGATGGCCTTGAGCTTCTGGTCTGGGAATTCCCTCTACTCTCTGCGAAATTCTAGTTCCCATCTGTATATGACAAGCAGCCATTGTTTAGCTGCCAATGGAGCTCTCCCATAAAACACATTACTGAAGAACAGTTTTAGAAAATGAGTAACCACAGACACACATGTATGCACACATACATACAAAGGGCATATTTCCAACATATCACTACTTCACAAACCCTAAATCGTTCTGTTTCACCGAGACACGGTCAAACACCAGAATCACTGAAAATACCTGAGACATATGTGCCTGCTCCCGAAATCTTAGATCCATGGGTCAGATCCCAGGAGTCTGTTCTGTATGACAGAGGTGAAAGTGAAGAGAAAAATGAAGCAGTCCATGTTTCCTCTGGACCCACTGAAAAGGGACTGATACATACTTAAGATCTGGTACAGGAAATCAATTCTGTTCACAAATTATTTTGAAACATACAAAACAACGTTCTGTAAAAATTGTTCAGCCATTACAAGCCTACAAACTTTGTATGGGTATTTACAG